TGTTTTCTGTGTTCATTGTTTTAGTTTAGCCACTTTACTGGCGACCGAAATATTCCAAGAAAACAACCCTCAATGAGTGTAGTATCGAGTATCTACCAACTTCGGACTGCACCAAAGCCGGTCATCTCACTACCCTTAAAAAGGCCAAGTTGGTCAAGTAAAGGTTCTAAAAGTCCATTAGTGCTTCATGACATCACTCAGCGGCCCCACATTCTCTTTGATTGACTCAAAGGCTACTGGTACCCACAAATATGTCGCACTAATATAGTTATTGCTTAGACCATGTCGGTATACCCCGCACAGTTTCTGCAACATATTTCTATTTACCTATGAATGTTTCCCAAATCCGGGTAGAGGATTCAAACCCAAACAATAGAACCTAAGTGTAAAGCATACAAGTCAAGCAAAATAAGCATGTAAAGGTGATCTAAAACCCTAAGGTAACCCCACTTTTAGATTTGTCCCCAGCAGAGTCTCCAGTTCTGTGATGCGGTGGGAGAACTGACTTGAGGTTTTGCGTTTATGTTTGCAAATGTTTCGGTTTAGCAAGAGTCGCCACCAACTTTTTATTTTATCCAAAGGAAAGGTCAAAAAGCACAGGAAAGACCTTTTAGATGTTTTCTTGAGTTCGGGGGGTAGATTATGAAAAGGGAAGGTGCTAGCACCCTTTTCATCCATGGTTTTCCATGGGCTCTTAGTTACTTGTTTTAGATCACTTGCTTTGCTTTTCCAATTGTTTGAAATGGTGCTTTGGTGTGTGGTTTTGAAAGTATTTTGAAAAGAGGCCTTTGTATAGGCAACCTTTGTAATGATTCTTGTTTGAATGTATACAAAGGTGTTTGTCTTTTGAAAAATGTTTCAATGTTTGAAAGTTTGGGAAATTGTTTTGAAATTGTGTGTGATAGTTTGAAATTAGCAAGGATGGTTTGCAAGATATCAAGTAACTAGGAGTTGTCTACCTTACTCAAAAGTCTTTCTTGTACATTTTAACCCTTTGACATTGTTATTTTACCATTGTATTTGGTAAACAACCCTATCTTTGTATGTTAAACAGGACAGGCGTGGGTCATCGTATGACCATGATAGCAATGGTGCCAAGTATCTTAGCAAGTTTTTGAGGGACTAGATCATTTTTGTTTAGGCAACCAAGATAGCGTCATCGAGGGACTATGATCTTTTTGTTTTGTTTTGCCAAGATACCTAGCATGCATACCATGGCCATTTTAAGGCAACAAAGTGGATGAAACCCTAGGGGTGCTTGTGTGCATTGTGTTGTCATTTTTATGCATTTTTGTCTTGTGTTAGGTCATGCTATTTGTTTTGATTTTTGGTCTTTTGCATACAAACCCTAGTTTACTATCATGCATATAAAGCAATAAAATGCGTAAAGTAAATCTAAGACTATTACAACATTATTATGGGGAGGGGGATACAAGGTTGAATAGGGGGATATTGCTCAAAATAAAACCCTAAAATTATTACAACCATATTGAATTTATTGTACAAATAAATAAATGAACAAATATTTAAATATGCAATAAAATATAAATATGCAAAATGTTTTTTGTATTTTTTTTTATGTATGTTTAAATAAATTTATTTATGTCTTCAAAATAAGAAAATAAAAATGAATATTTTTGGAAAGGGTGAAGAAACCCTAATTTTTGTTTAAAAAAAAGATATATTTTATATTATTTATTTATTCATTTTTATGTTTTAAGAAAAATAATAACAATATATACAAAAATGTTTTAAAAAAATTAAATATTGTATGAAAATATTAATTTAAGTGTATGAATAATAAAAATAAAAATATATAATATTATTGTATTATTTACAAGTTTTATTTAAGAAAATAAAAGTATTGTTATTTAATAAACTATTTTTATGTCCAAAAACTAATAAAAATAATAAAATAAAAATGCAAAAATTAAGGAAATATTTTTGGGTTTTTTAATGTTCATAAAAAATATAAAAAGTCAGAAATCACAAAAAGAAATAAAAAATATAACAAAATATAACAAATGGGCCAAAGGGGTGCAAATAACAAGATGGAGGGTGTGAATAACAGAAAAGCCAAGCCCAGGCCCAATCTCCTTCGTCCCTGTTCTCTGGCCAATCACGCGCGCGTTCTGAAACTTCAAATCTGTTCTCTCTATTCTTTGCATGAAATCAAAAACTCACAACATGAAACTTATAGAGTTTTAAACCACGATTCTAATGATATAAAAAACTTGATCTAACTCTCAAAGACCAGAGAGAATTTCAGTGGCCCTAAATTCTAACTTAGTTTTTTTAGCAACTTCAACTATCAAATACTCCTATCTCAGTCAATATAAATGGGAACCATGCATATGTACAGCTCAAGCACATTACAAACTACATTTTTGTTTCACAAACATAAGCCTAATGATGCCTAAATAAGGAGTTAGAATCTTGACAAATATTTGTTTCAGTTGATGTTGAATATGGCAATGTAGTAACTTGGAGTGAGGCCTGAAGGTCGTGTGAGCTTGCCTGAAGTTCCCTTGACCTTTCCCAATGCTCAACTGGTCTTGAACTTTCCCGAATCTCCTTGTAGAACTCAACCTGAAAAGCTTCAAAATGAAAATGGTGAAGTGTGAAAATGAGGTTACAGTTGCTGGACAGGGACTTGGATAGTTCAAGTGTGATGTATAGAATGTGTTTGAAGTGGTTCCAGACAAAACGCACGAGTGGAATATGTTTTGGAAGTGGTTCTGCAGAAGATGCCCTGTTTGGGCAAGAACTTATGATTTTTGTGCTTAAGGGTGTTTGAGATGCTATGAGCTCGTGTTTTAGGTTTGGTATAATGTGCTAAGGTTGTTTGAAAGTGTTACAAGACTTGGTTTTATCAGATGCAATAGTTATGGACTTTTTGCAAGCTTTCTTGTTTTTGAAGCAAAAGGTGAGTTGACAAAGGAAAAGGATGTACAGGCTAGCTCAAGGCCTGAGGAGAGTTGGTAAACCTTTTATGATGTTTATGGATCTTGTTTGCACAAAGAGATTAGGTTCAATGCTCAAGATAAACAAAATTGCATAAAGTGTGCTTTATCAAAGTAGCAATGTAACATTTTTGCCATTTTTGGATTAAACCCTTGTACAAAGCTTCAAGGATCAAAATAATGCCATTAACCAATGTATTTGCATTTAATTTATGAGTGTATAAAGGATTAGAACCTGTAAACCAAGTACAAGCATGATACAAACTGATTTGCAACTTATATCAATGTGAAAAATGTCATGGACAAAAGTGAGAAATGGCCATTTTCTTTCCTTCCATTCTCCCTAACCATAAATGATCTTGGAGATTTCTTGGACATTTTGGAAAGCTTGTAACATGATCTACAATTCATATTTAAAATGAATTTTGAGATTCCAAATGGAACTAGGTGAAAAGTTACCATGAAGTTAGGTAAAAAATCTTCCTAAACTAGGGCAAAATTTCACTAAGTTAAAAAGTTTTTGGACCCTTATTCACAAAATCATAACTTGAGGTACAAGCATCTTTTGGGAAAACTTTGTGAATAAAAGTTGTAGATTTCATGGAGGACTACAACTTTCATGTTGGAAGTTTTGTTTGAATCCAATTCCATCATGGTGAAAAAGTTGGGAAAAAATAAGAAATTTTCATAACTTAGAAAATTTCTAAGTTATGAAAATTTTCAATCTTAAACCCTAATTTCCAAAATTAGGTTTCTTGGTGAACAAGTTTCATGTTTTGACACATCTTGATGAAAAATTACCCTTGGCACTTGATTTTGACCAAAAGTCAAAGTTTGATTTTTCAGTGTACAGTTAATTTTTTATCAGTTGACTGGAAAATTCATCTGTCAATCCAATGCATTTGAGATCTTTTGAACCTTGTGATTAGGTCAAGATGATGCCATTGAGTCCTTGAAACCATGCTTGGTCCCAATTTGCCATTGGCTAGGTGAAAAATCAGAAATTTCCCTTCTACAGTCAAAACCCTAAAAATGACCATTTGCCCTTTTGATGATCTGATCAAATTTCTTGAGGAGTTGTGGTCCAAACTTGATCAAATGATTCATATGAGTCTATAATGTTGATGTGGATCAAAAATCATGAGGCTTGACTGTAAATTGGCCATGGTTGACTTTTTCCCCAATACAACTGATTTTTAGGTCAACTGTCCAATTGACTGGGCAAAAATTTGATTCAAGGCTTGCAACTTGGTATGAGCAATCTTAGGAGTCCAATATGAAGCATGAAAGTCACATGAGGCATTGAAAGTCCAAAAATACTTGTACAAACTCAAACCCTAATTTCAGATCATCAGTGCAGGGAGAGATCTTGAGCTGAGCAAACCCTAATTTGGTCTTGGGTCCAGGAAGTCTTGTGAGGAGAATCTTGATAAAATGAGAGGGAAAATTTTGGGGTACAACAACTAGAATTTATGGATTCAATTGAGATTAAGGTTCATTTACCAAGCATGCCATTTGAAGTCAACCGAGTTTTGACTTGTCATGAACGCTCGAGTTACATTAAAGATCGATTTAAGATGAACATGGAATAGAAGTTTTTAATGTGATTCAAAGATAAGTCATTTAACTTGCTTGAAGTACAAGATATATGCGAGAGATGTTACAAGACTTGTGGATAATTTTCCTGGTTTTCTTGTACTCATAATATAAGTGATTCATCAATTGGCTTTGTTTAGAATTTGGATTATGTTTGAGATATAAAAAGAAGATTTTGAACTTAAGGTTAAAGAAGGGATCGTGATTCATTCAAGGTACATTTTGAGAAGATGTAAGCATAAGAGAATAAATTCAAAGACTCTTTTCTTGATTCAACCATGGCTATTACAAAATCAAGAGCTAGAACATATACATTTTCAACCATTTAAAATTACATAAAAGTGAGAATTTCAATCCAACTTATGAATATATTACATCAAAGTCCATAAACCAAAATTCAATTACATCCAAAAAAACCCACACTCTACCTTAACTCCCTCCATGAATCGTGATGCTCAGGCCTTACTTCCTCTGACGATCAAGCAGATCAATGATGCTTATCAAGCAAGTGATGATAAAGCCAATCTGACTATTGATGGTGTTGAAATTGGCAAAATTTCTCTTCTTGGTAGGGTGTGCAGCAAAGCTGGACAAACCACTGATGTTAAATTTGTACTTGATGATGGTACTGGAATGATTGAGTGCACTAAATGGCTTCAAGAACCTGCAAATTCAATTCCAGTGGAGAGTATTTTAAATGGAATATATGTGCGGGTTTATGGACACTTGAAAGGCTTTCAGGGTAAATTTTTTTGAATGTTTTCTCTTTTAGGCCTGTGACCGACTTCAACGAGACTGCCCGCCATTTCATTGATTGCATATATGTTCATCTATATAATTTGAAGTTTTGGGCTAGCAATCCCAATCAACAACATGTTCCTAATTCCACACAAATCACTCCCACGAGAGGTCATCAATTTCAAGCTGTATCAGAAAATCAATTCTCAGGTCAAAATAATAATGATCAGAAGAGTGTTGAACAATTGGTGTCATATTTCTTGCTTCTTCCCCAAAACAGGGAAATGACTGAGGGAACCCCTCATGATGTTATTAGAGAATATCTTAGAATTACCCTGGATAGACTTAAGCTGGCTATTGAAAATCTTACGTATGAAGGTCAGATATATGAAGGTGTAACTGATAGATATAAGTCAGCTATCGATGGTTGACATCTTAGTGGCGGAGAATGAGCAGAACAAACTGAATAAAGAATGGGTAGATTTTGTCCCTACGGATGAAAATATTGATGCCACAATCTCTGATACAACTCACGGTTTAGAAAATTGTGAAACTGCCTTGAATGAGTTAGAAGGATGTGAAGTTCAAACTGTATCTCAACTTCAGGAGCATACACCAGTTGGTGAAGATTATCTTCAAATGGTTATTAATTCAAATCCATCCGTCATTGTTGGTGAAACTAGTCATGTTGAAGATGAGATTGATGTCAATAAGATACTTAGCCAAAATAGTCGATCATGCAGTATTGATACACTTGAGGAGACCATTGATGAAGCAAAAACTAACAAGAAAATGTTGTTTTCATCAATGGAATCTCCATCAATTTGATGAAAGAAGTGGAACTTCTGGAGAAAGCTGCTAAGGCAAAGCCTGCTGCCAAAATGAAACCTGCTACCAAGCCTGTAGCCAAGCCACCTGCAAAGGCTAAACCAGCTGCCAAGACTTAGCCAGTCTCGGACAACTGCCCCACCCCTTTACCGATCCTACAAAATCACGTCAAAAAAACAGTTAATTCAACAACCTTCTAACAGAATCCAACCACCTGGACAGAATTCCCTAACTGCTCTAACTGTTAACATAACTTTAAACCAACCTATAACCAACTTGTAACAAACTTCCAAAAATTCCTAACAGATTCTAAGAGCAATTACAGAAAGGGAGGGGGGATTCAGATTCATCATTTTTTCAACTCTACAGAAGAGATTAAGACAAAAACTTACCAATGGATATTCATGCTAGAATTCTGTAGAAGAATCTTCATCTTTCCCTGCTCTGATCTCATTCTCCCCTACCTAATCATCCTTCTTCCTTCTCTACAACAACCACTTCGCACATCTTCAAACACCTTCTTCAACCTTCAATTCTTTATAACTACTTAATAATCACCTCTATCGCTTCTTGAACCTCACATTGTATCTCTGCACCATTCTTCATCTCATCATTCTCTGCACCTTTCTCCAAACACCATTATGCACCACAACCGTATCCTCAACCTTTATCACCTCACAATCTTAATGATCACCATCACGCAAACTCTCTTCAATATTCAAGAATCACTGGTTTCTACTTCCTCTGCGACTAGACCTTCACGCAATTCATCACCAGCATCAACGTCATCACCATGTGATTTCATCGTCAAAGCTTCAATGTATCTGCATCTGTTTCAACACAACACCAGGCGAGTTTGAGAAAAATCAGAAGAAAATAAGAACAAAGAGATTCATTGTTGTTACTTGATTATACGCATCTGGAACGGATTATCACTGAGGCGAGAACGGATTAAGATCAGAGATGAGACCGAAGCTATGGCGAAGGGTATGTCTAGACGAAGATATTTGAGATGATATCGATGTAGTCGCGTAAGTGAAGCTTGAGATGAAGAATACTGAGCTCTTGAGGCACCATGCCGTGTTGAGATAAAGTGATTTGAGATTAAAACATAGATGGAATATGGTGGTGGCACTGGCGTTCATCACCGGAGAAGAAGGAGTTGATCGGAGTCTCTGCCAAGTTGAAGAGGGAGAGAATGGGATTTGGGTTGTCTCGTGAAGATGATCAATCACAAATACTAAACCCTTATCTCAACAAATTCCGCCATTTAGGATCTCTTTTGTTTTTCTTTCAGTATTTTCTTTTTTTGTTTTTAAATAACCATAATATTGGGCTGAAGCTGAATTTAGTTTGGGCTTGGTTTCTGTGGGTTAATGGATCGAGTTGTATGCTCAATAGGCCCAACATCATTCTTTTTGTTGATTTAGCCTTACAACAAAAAACCTCTTCTTGGATCTGTATTCAGTGGGCATAGCGCCTGAATCTTGCTTCTGCAAACCACTCGGATTCAATGTACACCCCCCGAGCTTTCTATTTTCTTTGTTAGATTTAGGTCTAACCTTTGAATTTTTCTATTTTTTTATATGATATAAAATCACAAAATCAATAAAAAAATTTAGGCTTTTTATTTGATTTTAGGAAATTAGTTCACAATCTTTCGGTTACTTGGAAATTGCGATTCACCTTTGTTTGTTGAGCTGAGTCTTATGCAGGTTCATTATTTGATATGCGGATGTGTTTTGGATTCGGTTGTGATTTATTTTCACATCGACGAAGTTTCGACACCTATTCCAAATATTCGATCTCTGACTGTTTGTTTGTTGATGCCAGCTCGTGCGAAGTATCTCGGATTTCTCTCCTTTGGTTGCGCTTTTTGCGGACTTTATTGTTCGTTTGGTATTATACTGCTTCCAAGTTATACTCCTGCATTTATTGCTTTCTAGATATCATGAGAAGTAGGAAATAAAGAGCGTGCGCTCGAAGTCGCTGTTTAAAAACCTGTAGCAGGCATTCCGCACTTCATTTGCTATATGTGTTGTGCTTGTGTTTGTTTACTTTCTTGTTGATCGACGAGTCACTCAATTTATAAATTGAGATCACGACTTCGCTCTCAGTGCATGCTCCCTATAGGATTTTATCGCTTTCCTTTATTTCTTGTTGATCGATGAGTCACTCAATTTAGAAATTGAGATCACGACTTTGCTCTCAGTGCATGTTCCCTATAGGATAGTTTTGGTAGACTTTCTTTAGCATGCTAACTTAGATAGGATCCCTCATTGTTTGATAACATTAGGTTAGAGATAGGTTAGTCCCCCTTAGATGTTTTCTTCCCGTTTTTGCATAATTGCATTTAAAACTAAAACTTCTCTTTTCTTGGCAAATGTATAAAGAATGCTAAGCATACAAAAATTCTTTTCATGGTAAAAAATACCAACCAACCCATTTCTTTTCGCCATTCGGCTTTTCTCTTATAAGAGCATGTTAGCTCCTTTCCACTAAAGGTCATAAGTCTCCAAAGGTCGAGCAGCGGTGGAATGATCGAACGCAACATTGTTCATTTAAAAAATACAAATAAACAAAATATATAAGTCGAACTACGGTAGCTCTGATTCCTCAAAAAGGATACGTAGGCGTTGGGGTAGGGCCCAAGCGAGTATAACTTTATTTTCCCTACATTCTTTCTCCTTTCTTTGCATGCATTCTCTCTTATTTTATAACCCTTAAGCATTAGATTGAACACACCCTTTGATTAGAATAACGAGAGTGGATCCCGTAGAGTACTATGGACGTGTAGGGTGCTAATACCTTCCCCTCGCGTAATCGACTCCCTTACCCAATCTCTCGGTCGTAAGACCTTGATTTCCCCTTTAGGTTTTCTTCGATGATTTTCCTTTCCCTTTCATATGGGATAAATAAATACTCGGTGGCGACTTCATTGATTTTACCGCTACATATGCGAATATGGAATTACCTGTTGTCTGCGAATTTATAGAGGTGTTTCTAGATGAAATCAGTAATTTACCTCCTGAACATGAAGCGGAATTTTCTATACGTTTGGTTCCAAGCATGAGTCTGGTGTCAATGGCTCCTTATAGGATGTCAGATTCAGACCTGCGCAAGTTGAAGAAACAATTGGAAGAGATTCTCGAGAAGAAGTTTGTTCAACTGAGTGTTTTGTCGTAGGGTGCTCCAGTGTTGCTAGTTAAGAAGGAAGATGGAAGTATGAGGATGTATGTAGATTGCAGAAATTTGAATAAAGTGACGATTAAGAATAAGTATGCACTTCCGAGAATTGATGATTTAATGGATCAACTAGTGGACACGTGTGTTTCCAGTAAGATTATTTAAGGTCGGGTTATCATCAGATTTGAGTTAAACCAGATGATATTCCAAAGACAGCTTTCCGAACAAGGTATGGTCATTATGAATACACTGTGATATCGTTCATTGTATCTAATATGCCAGGTGTTTTCATGGATTATATGAATAGAAATTTTCATTCCTACCTGGATAAGTTTGTTATGGTCTTTATTGATGATATTTTGACTTATTCTAAGACGGAAGAAGAGCATGTTGAGTATTTATGAATGGTGTTTAAAGTGTTAAAGGAAAATAAATTATATGCAAAGTTGTCGAAGTGCAAATTTTGGCTAAAGGAAGTTAGTTTCCTTGGTCATGTGATTTCTAGTGGTTGGATTATTGTGGATCCTTCTAAATTTGATGCAATATTGTAGTGGGAGGCTCTGAAGTCTGCAACCGAGGTTCAAAGTTTTCTTAGTTTGGAAGGTTACTATCGAATATTCATTGAAGTATTTTCTAAGTTGGCTTTGTCGCTTATTGAGTTGACCTGAAAGGGCAAGCTTAGGTGTGGAATGTTGTGTGCGATGAAAGCTTTGTAGAGTTAAATAAGCGGTTGACGACTGCTCGGGTGTTGATTTTGCCTAATCCGAGTGAGTCTTTTGTGGTGTATTATGATGCGTCTAAAATGGGACTTGGTGGTGCGCTAATGCAGAATGGATAAGTTGTTGCTTATGCTTCTAGGAAACTCAGAGCTCATAAAAGGAATTATCCTACGCATGACTTAGATTTAGCAACGGTGGTGTTTGTATTAAAGATTTGGAGACATTATCTTTTTGGTTCTAAATTCGAAGTGTTTAGTGACCACAAGAGCTTAAAGTATTTGTTTGACCAGAAAGAATTAAACACGAGACAGAGAAGGTGGCTTGAATTGTTGAAAGACTATGACTTTGATTTGAGTTACCATCTTGGTAAGGAAAATGTAGTCACTGACGCCTTGAGTAGGAAGTCATTACATATGTTAATGTTTATGGTTCAATATTTAGAGATGATCGAACAATTCATACAGATGAGCTTAGTGTGTGAATAAACTTCTAATAATGTGAAGTTAGGAATGTTGAAACTGACTAGTGGCATATTTGAAGAAATTCGCGAAGGTCAGGAGTTTGATTTTAGGTTAGTCGATCGGTTGACTTTGATTAACCAAGGTAAAGGAGATAAATTTAGAATTGATGAGAATGGTGTAATGAGGTTTAGCGATAGAGTGTGTTCCAGATATTCTAGAACTTAAGAAGATTATTCT